GTGTTTATGAGACAGGGTTCAGGATATTTTATCTATATTACAGTGTTTATGAGACAGGGTTCAGGATATTTTATCTATATTACAGTGTTTATGAGACAGGGTTCAGGATATTTTATCTATATTACAGTGTTTATGAGACAGGGTTCAGGATATTTTATCTATATTACAGTGTTTATGAGACAGGGTTCAGGATATTTTATCTATATTACAGTGTTTATGAGACAGGGTTCAGGATATTTTATCTATATTACAGTGTTTATGAGACAGGGTTCAGGATATTTTATCTATATTACAGTGTTTATGAGACAGGGTTCAGGATATTTTATCTATATGTCAGTGTTTATGAGACAGGGTTCAGGATATTTTATCTATATTACAGTGTTTATGAGACAGGGTTCAGGATATTTTATCTATATTACAGTGTTTATGAGACAGGGTTCAGGATATTTTAATTATATTACAGTGTTTATGAGACAGGGTTCAGGATATTTTATCTATATTACAGTGTTTATGAGACAGGGTTCAGGATATTTTATCTATATTACAGTGTTTATGAGACAGGGTTCAGGATATTTTATCTATATTACAGTGTTTATGAGACAGGGTTCAGGATATTTTATCTATATTACAGTGTTTATGAGACAGGGTTCAGGATATTTTATCTATATTGAAAGGAATCTTTAAACCCCTATCTTTTTTTCTGAAAGGAATCTTTAAACCCCTATCTTTTTTTCTTGTCATTTTGTTATACTGAATATAGAATATAACCTATTCCCTTTTCCAGTCAAATTGTCAATAACTGTTATTTTAGGTTATTATTTTTAGCTCTCCCATAATGCCCCTCTATAATTGTCCCAACTATTTATCAGAATTACAAAACATTATTTTATAACGTCATCTTTCAGGTTTATACTCTCTCCCCTTCAAATTGCCCCTGGCCATTCTGAATTTTTAAAAATTTATTTGCCCTACCTGTGACATCTTGAACATACGGAATGGGCATTGCTCCCAGTCGATCTATAAATAACACACCTTTA